CTGGGATCCACGCTGGCCTTCTGCATTCCCACCCTTGGACTCGCCACCCCTGCAGGGACACAGCGACCCCACTGTGGCAGGTCATGGTTTCTACTCTCAATTAGGCTTTCCACACACTCTGCTCACACCTTCGTAATGGCCCTCCTTGTTGAATTTCTGTCTGTTTACCCTATTTTGAGGACGCTGGCCTTTCCCGCAGGACCCCAATTAACATTCCCAATCATATTAGGATCAAAAACGGACCAATTTGTGTAAATAAATGAACTGTACCATGCAAGAGTCAAAACTGCGTCAACACACGTCTCCATTGGGAAGATTCTGTGTCCTGAGCAAGGAACAGCTGTCCACATACAGGTGACAAGACTCAGAATGTCCGATTAGCCGTGGTGCCGACATCCTCCAAGTGGACGGAGGTTGCATGGAAGGGCCGCGGCCTCTCACAACGGGGCGCAAATGGCTGAAGTTTCACCACTGATTCTGGCTGTTGCCACAAGCAGTGACGGCCCAGTGACCTCATGGAATGGTCCCTGGGCTCTGACCAAGATGTCAGCTAGAAAGGGCTAATTTTTCTTCTTTCCGGAGAGAGAGGTCAGCTTCAGAGGCTGTGGATTTAGCACACTTGGATAAACAGGCAACATTTCAATGTCTTCGGGAGGATTATTTTTTCATTACTGAGAATTCAGAAACATTGAATGGAAAATTCAGAGTATAGCCTTTATGAAACTGAAGGTGCTTCCAAAATGAATGTGCATATATCCCAGTTAATTTTAAAATTTGAAAATTGTCAAGGATCAGATCCTGAGCAGGCTGAGGTTTTTGTTCCACTTCCCCATCTGCCTGTGTGACTGAGAGAAGCACTGCTGTGCCCAGCCATACAGTAATAGTCAGCCTCGTCCTCGGGCTGCAGCCCAGAGATGTGCAGAATCCCTGCATTGGCCGAGGCATCTTTGGAGCCAGAGAAGCGGCTGGGGACCCCGGAGCCCTGGTGCTTGCTTGAGTCTGAGTAGTAGCTCAGGAGGTAGCGGGGAGGGCTCCCTGGCTTCTGCTGGTACCAGTATATAGCATAGCTTCCGACACTGAAGCCACTGCTCAGGGTGCAGGTGAGTCTGGCGGATGCTCCAGGAGATGCCGAGAGGGAGGGCGGCTGAGTCAGCACAGGCTGGGACAGGGAACCTGCAAACACAGACACAAATAGGAGATGGGTTGAGACCGGGTAAAATTTCTCTTGGGCTCCTGCGACCGAGAGGCTGATACAGGCTTCAAATTGAGACTTGGTCTCTGAGACCTGTCCCTACCTGTGCAGTGAGAGAGGAGCACGAGGAGGAGAGGACCCCAGGCCATGCTGGACACAGCCCCTGGTCCCCACAGTGGGGCTGGGCTGCCCCAGGCCTCCTTTTGTCCTCACCCTCTGCAGAGGAGAGGCTGCTCATGCAAATGTGTTTCCATCCAGGGACTGCCCAGCCCCTCCCTGAGCCCTGGGCTGGAGCTCAGCTCTCACTGCTCACTGAAGAGGAGGGAGCTTTGCTTTGCCCCTTGGGGGAGCCCTGGGAGGAAGCACCTACTGAGACCATACAAAGGGCCCTGCTCAGGGGACTGTGTCAGGCTAGAGAGGACAGAGTTGCTGAGACCCCATCAGTTAGCACAGGGCCCTGCCCCCAGGGCTAGGCTCCTTGGAGTGAATGGTCCTCCCTGAGCAGCTGTGTAGGGACCACAGGGCAGTCCCCCAGCGCCCCCTGCTGGTCACAGGCACACACTCCCCATGGCCCAGAGACCTGAGAGCC